TCATCAAAATGGGTAATGGAGCACCCGAATGTGAAAACCACTGAACTAGTGGGTTACTCCTTAGACAATCCCACTCACGCATTCAATTTTTTCCCAGTACCGACTCGTAGTGAGTGTGAAGAAAGAGAATGACTTCGAGCATAGAAATATCTGACTACCTATCGGCACAATTTGCATTGAGCTAAACAGGGGCATCTGAAAACGTTCGATTTATCCGATCGGTATGCTCTCGAAATGAGAAAACCCGGAATTCCGTGAAGTTCTCTTTCGAATGAGTGTGAAGTTTTCCGGAATCAGTTTACTTCAGTATCGCAACTGATGATTTTAAATAAATAATTCACTTTAGTTGGAATTTTTATCGTTTTAGTTATTCAATTCATTGGCGTTTATTGGATGCGCAATTTGTCTGATTGTGCTGGGTATGTTTGGAGAGGATCAAAAACTAATATCACTGATACTGTTATCTGCGTCAACTGCATTCCTTGGTCTTACCGTTGGCGGATGCTTGAAGGTTCATTTTCGTTCAACTTTCATCTTCAATCCATTACTTTCTCGATTCATTCAACCGCTCGAAGTCATGTGTCTTGACTGCAAGCAAAGTGCACCTCTACATTTTTCTCAAGAGTCAATCGATCTTCAAATCGCAATTTTTTTCGAAAAATTCGGAATTCTTGTTCAAGGTGACATTATTTACTAATGCATGCAATATGCATTTTATATTGAGAAGTACCTATTTGGCATGAAATGCTGAACAAGATTAATAAATCGATCAGCAATCGTCAGTGATGATCGAATTGAGCAATATCAGTAAAATGAATCAACAAATGAACCTTATCAATAAGTGTTCAGTCAGCCCCATTAGTGGCACACCATTACGCGGCGTTCGTAACCGGAAATGTTTCATTGGCGATGTCGTTGACGATGTTGATTGTTCCGTTCCTTGTTGCCTTCTTGGCACCCGACAATACGCCACTTCAGTGGAGATACGTATGTGACTCCAGCCATCCCTCTGATACATGTTTGCATCACCCTTTTAGTGTTTCTCGAAACCATTTGCATGTTTCTCTTTTTATTTAACACTTTTTATCCATTAGAGATAAACCACTACAGTAATTTTCTAATTCTCTTTCCGATTCCCGGAAATTCTCTCTCACTCTGAACACATTTCAATCAACTTTTCATTCTTCAACACTTATATTGCCCGTAATTTGTTCGCATTCCATATCGCAAATATTTAATGTACTATGTACCTACCATGGAATTATTCTTCAATCTCGTTGCTTTGAGGATGGAAAAAATGCACGAAGATTTTTATATATACATGTATTTTTCGTGGTATAGAGAAAATTTGATTTACACCTTATACTGAAATGTATTCCAAACGCACAGTGGTGCGATTTTTCAGGTGAACAGGAAAAGAATCGATTTTAATAGCGCTTCATTTAGATTTTCTTCTCGGCAGCAGCGTTGCTGATATTAACAAATGTAATATTCGTCACATTCGGATCGGCAAAAACGGCGGTATGGGCCATTCCGAATGCATCATCACACATACAAATGTCGATGAATGTGAAAGTGATTCGCGTGAACGACGATGCAGCCGTATCGAGTCACCATTCAATCGAGCAATAATTCACCTTACATATTACTGCATTTACTAGTAGTCCACTGTTCTCGGAAACATAATAAACTGCGATCGACATATTGATGACCGTCACAGAACGTCTTTTGAATTGAATGCTTATTTTCACAATATTTTCTGCTGAACCGTCAATTTAAAACTGGTTATATTCCAAGCGTTATCCTAAAGATCTCCCCTCGAAATATTACTGATATTCTGATTTGGTGTTCTTATTGCATCCATTACCAGAAACATTTTCAAGGGGATTATCAATAATTTGCTTACGATACAGAGAGCATTCGAAATAATCCCTTATTCATGTGGCTCATTTCACTTAAGTCTGTTCGATGAAATGAGATGAATTAATGAATACTTACGATATAATTTATTAGATAATGATTAAGTTTTTTAAGGTCAGTTGCCATGGATAGCAACCAACCAGATAAGAAATTTAGCTCAACAAGAGTGGTGTTTCTTATTGAGGTAATAGTTAGTTTCATTTCACTCGATGACATCAATCAAGGCACTCTCTGAAGCCTTTTTCTGATATATGATTGATTGATTGTCGTGCTTCTCAATTCGTTCTGTATAAGTGTCAAAAATGAGCCTTTTCTCGCGTTGAAAAGGAGGATTTTTTGTGAGAGAATGTTATTGGCTGCAATAAGACAGTATAGGTTGTACTATCGATGACATTTGTTAAATTTCTCAACGAATACTTCAAACAATCCCATGTCATTCAGTTTATAGTAAGGTTTGATCGCGTCAACATAACAAGGGCACAACTCTTGGAACTTTTGAGATCGAATAAGTAGTGTTCGAATGAGTCTCGATCGCTGACTTGAGTGTTTTTAAACTAACGAACTGAAACGGCGAATATGAACACCTGCGTTGAAGAGTTTAAAATTAGATTATTATTGATGATGGGGTATCAAAAGACACTGAACTGTAATGACTCGCTCTCCTCAGGCTAGATAAGTCTCTTCAACTGGGTTTACTTCGACTGTGCTCAATAATCTTATTTTTTCGATACCATTTCATAGAAGAAATGTTCATTCATCAGAAAAGTATACGCATGTTGTCGACGGGAAATGCTTACTTTCAGAATAATAAGTAAATTTCGAAACGTAGATTGTATATTTGAGCGACCGATCCATCATAGTGGCTGTCTATCAAAATGTATACATCTGGAATAATCTCTGTCAATCATCAGTCAATACTCAAAAACATAAATTCATGCGGAACGATCTTCAGGCAATTCACGTATAGGCTCAGCTGTAAGCACTTTCTTAAGTGGAGACGGACTATTATCGTTATTATGTGGCATGAATGAATTATAACGATTTTATTAAAATTGCTATGTAAAAAGAAATGAAGCCAACAGAACGAATATGATAAAGGAAATCAGAGACACAATCAAATAAAGAACGGATGATCCTCTTCGAACGACAGCCAAGGACTAAGTCCTGAGATTGGTTTCTGTGGCATCTGATAACTGTCCCATTGTTTCTTCATCAGCAAGTCGCTATCATCATTTGCTCCTGTAAAAGAAATAATTAACGATACATCATCATCAGTGTTGGGTAATTTAACAGGTACGATGCAATTGTTGCATATGAACGCTTAAATAACTGACTGACAAAGAAATCTCTTATGTAGATCAGATTATTCGGAAGTATCAACGACTGCTTTGTGGCATCGCAGAACAAAGTAACTGTGATGTAACTTATCATGTATCTTATCAAAAATGTGTAATTAATAAATTCAATTCACTTGATATGAACACTTTAGTAAGTGTAACATTATACAGTGTATCTTCGTAAACGAATAATAACAAACGTTCTCCTCTTTGGGAATACAATAGTAAACATTCGCATTATTTACGCCTTAATCAAAAATAATTTCATAGTGTTCTTGACTGCTTAATAAGACTTCTGTATGACTTCCTTGGGGAGTGACACACCTCATTAGGATCTGCTACGCTCATTCACTTATTCATGCAGAATTGCTTTCACCAAATGTCATAAGCTTCATAAATGAGGAACATACCAAAGAAGTGCGACGATGAATTTGGTCTTGCGATTGCTACTGATGACAACACTGCTAGCATCACAATTACAGCACTTAACGAAGAACGCATGATGATATATTTATCTGAAAGAAGAAAGAGACTCAAAAGATTAATGCCATTGAAAAATGATTAGTTTCTTAGATCAGTTTACGATCAAATTATCTGTTCCCCCAGCAGGGAGACAGCTTCATTTTAAGGTATTTTTGAATTTCGACTAAATGGGTAATAGAAGGAACATGTGCTGAAAGTAAACCGCTTACAGTCAACAGTTTTAGGAGATGTTATGTACGGGTGATAGTGTTTGCAAACTGCCGAACATTTCTAAAGCCTGGGATCGAATTAAATCCGGATCGAATTGGCATAATGCTAAGATTCAGCCTCAACACATTCTTTTTGGATCAATGCATTCATAATTACTCCAACATCCAACAGAAATACAGTTCAGTTATGACATCAACAAACGACTGATGTTGAATTCGAGGTGAGCACTCTTCAACAGTTATATAGAATGTCGTATTTGATCAAATTCCGAAATCCAGAGATTCTTCAGTAGATAAATCTCGGAAGTGGAATCGGGGTTCAAAATTCGGGGTCTCGGGATCCCGTGGAAGTACTAATGTGTGAGAGCAACACCTGCTGATGGTTCATCAGTAGAGTGTCAACAAATGAAGCGCATTTTAATTTCGTTGAACAGCTCAGTGGAACTATGTTCGCTTTTAAAAAAACCAATCTATTCGATTAGAGAATGTGTTGAAAAATTTTTCTCGAACTAATTGAATTTTATTGCCAAAATGAAAATGGATGGACAAGTGCATGATTAACTCAAAGAGGAATGAGAAGCGCCGTCATGCAAAAACACACTCACTAATTCTTATTTTGTTGATTCAGCATTACAAACAAAATGGATCACTGTTGCACAAATTTTATATCGGACGCTTATATTTTATAAAAGATGTGTGAATTTGACTGGGAATAAAATAAGTGCAGTGCGCACCGATGACGATTAGAAATGCACACCCAATGAGAATTCCAATTTGCAAGAACAGAAGTGAAGCATTTTAATTGAAATTTAAGGCAATTAGCTCTCAAATTTGATCAGTTATCTATAAGCTGTGAAATAAATGAAGAGAAAAACAAAGGATTTTTCTCATCTCTTGATTGCAAAGCGAAGTCAATAAGAAAAACTAATTTAAACTTAATATCACCACCATGGCTGATGGTGTCGATGACTTAAACTGACTGGTCATTGAAAGCTTCGGCTGAATGAATAAGCATCAGATCCAGGAGGCGGAGCATACATTATTAAGGAATATCAGGATTTTGAGTGAATCACAGAAAGTCATCCGACAATTATTGGATAACGACAGTGCAAAAGGGAGTTGAAGCACTTCGAGTCAAGAAGCCATGCAGATAGAAATATGACCTCGTGATATCCGAATTGTCATTTCATAGCGAACCAGTTCAGTTAGCTTCATTCTGACATGAGCATGCATAATTAAATACCGTTAACTTAAACAAGTTCTGATCAATTCTTGCACGCGACTGCGATTTGCGACTGATCTCGAACGTTGTTACATGACGAATCACCTCCTCTTAAAAAAGATGCTGACTTTACTTTTATAAAGCATCCAGCACACATCGCGGATCACTTCAAAATGTGATCATCAACAACGAACGAATGAAGCCTAATGAGATGAGTCATTTTAGCATCTGATGCGATTATAATTACAGTTACGACGATTGTAAATTCTAAATGGCACAATAACTTNTTATGATGAATCATAAATGTTGTCAGTTAATGTTTTAAGACGGTTGGAAAGTTGACGATATAGATAAGTCACAAATTTATCCATCCATTGTGGCGGATTATCTTTTCAATCGCTGACTAATTTGGAGACATCAACTACAAATGAGTCAGAAAGAACAATTACAACTGATTCTATTACACATTCGTAGCTTGAAATGAGTATAAATTCTGGCTGAATGAAGGTTTTCATTTGATCGGTTCGGTTCATTAGGTGTGAATCGTTGGTCACAAAGTGCAAAAACATTCGTGTCTGATATTAAAAACGACTTGTTCGTGGTACACAAAATTGATGGAGTGAATAGTCGAGTTTTATTAAGTAAAGCGATCACTTTTAATTAATCATTTCCCATAGCAGCAATCCATTTATTTAATTCATCTGCGCACATCAACAGCTAATAACTCTTAGTTCAAATTTAAAACACTTGTACTCATTCACAGTAATGTCGTTGAAATTTTCACGAATCAGCTATGAAAATCTGTGTTATTCACCGC